CACTGACCGTAGCCAGTGATGCTTGACTTCGGTGATCTGCTGGGAATCGTGTCTTAACGATCAGTCCACTGCGGGGCAAAAATACCTTGAGAATATAGAAGATGAGCAATTTAAAAGAGTAATAAAGATAAAATATAAAAAAAACATACAACAGCATAACTGAACTATGCAATTTAAGGTATTCTTGTTATTAATTCATATTTTTGTTCATTTTCTTCTTATAACAACAATAAAATGCCTTATCAAATTCCACATTTATATCTATCTGCTTCCTTGCTGAACTTGACTCTCATATATAATAAATATTCAACATATTTTTGTCATTTAGATCTAAGGCAGAATTAACAATTGCGCTTGGCTACCACCTCCCAATTACTCACATCTCGTAATAGAATGCGAATGAAACAACAGAAAATAATTTGTTGTGCCTTCATAATTTTATTCACAAGAGAGAATAATACTCAGAAAGTCCTCTGTTTCTTTACGGCCTTATGACTTGAGAGCATTATGTTGCGCTAATAATAGACGTAACATTAAAGGGATGACTTCGGCGAGATGGGGGGAGGTTTCTTTGGAAGAGAGAATGTTGAAGAGAATCTAAGAAAGTGTTCCATAAAACTATATCATTTTACTTCTGAAAAAAGGTTTAATAAGAAAAATTTTGAGTTCACAGAGCGTAACGCTGCTTATTTTATTTTAGAAATGTGTTCAAAACAAAAATTTATGTAATTAAAATGACGAAATTAGTTGTTTTAAAATATATCAAATATATCAGGAAAAAAAATTCTTTTCATACAGTTATTGAAAGAAAAAAATTGTTTTTGCGTGTACATTTTCATATTATGCCCCATAAGTGTCACAATCGCCAATGGTCGATTCTTGCGTTATTTTTCAAATAAAAAATGGACTAGTGATTTGTAACGACGAGTTATTGGATTAAAAAATAGTGTTTGCGTGTACATTTTCGTACTGTCCCATATTAGTGTCAACTGCAATCTCCGGGGCTCAGTTTTTGTGTTATTTTTCAAATAAAAAATAGACTAGTGATTTGCGAGAGTGTAACTACGAGTTATTGAATAAGAAAATGCTTTTGCATGTTCAGTTTCATATTGTGCCATATTAGTGTCAACTGCCATCTCCGAGGCTCGGTTTTTGCGTTATTTTTCAAATAAAAAATAGACTAATGATTTGCGAAAGCGTAACTACGAGTTATTGAATGAGAAAAAAAGTTTTTGAGGGATTTCATTTTCATATTGTGCCCCATTATTGTCGACTGATTATTACAACATTATTGTCAACATTGATCCTCCAAGGATCGGTTTTTGCGTTGTTTTTTACATAAAAAATAGGCTAGATTTGCAAAAGTGTAACTACAAATAGTCTTCTAAGTTAGACACCTCTTGGACGTTTCTTTTGTCCATTTTTACTTTTTCTTTTTTTACTATTAAACTGAGAAAAAAGTATGGTATAATAAGGTAAAATTTATTGTATTTCTGGATCTATGGTAATACCAAAAAGCTCGGTAATTTTTATCGAAGCGTTAATAACTTTGAACAAAATTAACAAGAAAATACGGTTTAATATTATGTGATAAAATTTAGTAAATAGGTTAAAAATTTGGTATTTTTATCATAATAACTTAGATGATTGCAGAAAAACAAATTAATCTGTTAAATATGCTTTCAGTTTTGTATTTTCAACTAAATATGCGATAATAGTAACTTTAATTTGAACGAACAAATTACCAAATGAGCATTTTAAATACCATATATATTTTGATTTTATTACTAGAATTGTGCTTTCTAACCATAAATGCCATTACTATATAATACGGTAGCTGTACCAGATTTTGTTTTCTGCTTAGATTTCCGTTTTTTTTCTTTTATGTTCAAAAAAAATTTTTTTTAATTACTTTGCTACAAGAAAAATCCAAAAAAGTGCTTAAATGAGGAATTGAAATTTTAAATACCTATCTTTAATGTTAGTATTGGTCTAAATCAGTGTTTCCCAAAGTGCGGAACAGTTTAGCGGGGGTACGCGTTCTTGTGCGAAATATCATGCAGCAAACGAAAATTTCAAAAACTTTTATTTAAAAATAAAGCTAGCAATGAAAATTAACCATTACGTATTTTACTATTCACCATTTTTTGCAGAGTTACCAGTTAATAATGAGTGGTATCAACAGTCAGTTGTGATTTTTAACTTTTGAGCAATTTTTTTATTGTGAAAAATACATTCATTTTTTTATTAGTGGTACACAGCGTTACGAAAAATTAAGAAAGGGTACACAGAAGTCATAGGTTTAGGAAACACTGGTCTAAATAACAACAAAACACAAAAACAAAACAATTTAGGTGAAAAGAAGTCAACATGTTTGTTTTATTCCCCAAAATAAGTTTAAGTTAAAAATTGGAAAACTAGTTCGAAAAACTGTAATCCATAGAATTATTTACTAAAACATTTATGATTTTTTAAATTATAAATTAATATTTTAAATAAAGGACATAAGTCAAATCAAGATACAAAAATAATACTACTTTAATAGATTATAAATTGTACTAAATTAACAATTTCATTTTGTTATATTTTTATTGTAGAAATTCCGTAGACTTGAACATTAGGAAACGACACACTTAGCCGATTTTCTGATTGCATAATTGTGAGAAGCATTTTATCAATGCAAGGATGTGATAAACAAATTCATAAAACAATTTTTCATCTCCTTGAAATAATCAAGAGAAGTGATGAAAAGTGAGATAGCGGGAAACCTATTTATAAAATTAGCAGGAAATAGTGACTCTTATTCTTCTTTAAAGCAAAAATAATTGATTTGAGCTTAAATAAACATAAATTACTTATCTAAATACAATTCATAGACTAAATACAAAGCCAAAGTTCAGAATAAAAATTTCAAAAAAAAAATTAAATAAAATACCCGAGTGTAATTGGCAGATTTTCTTTTAAACACAAAGTGTAGTTGAAATTTAAAATAAATCCAACTGAAATATCTACATATAATTCACTTATTTTCATTTAAGCCAAAAGCATCACGAAAGTTCATATTAAATGTAAATGAATTATCTGTAAAAATTTAGGAAATAAGTACACAACGCTTCATAAATTTATTATATGCCCTTAAATTGATTCAAAATAAAAACATTTGTACAGAGGTATTTAGTATCAGTTGTGATGGATGTTAACTGCCTTTACTGATTTTTGAATAATTGATAACAAAGAACAAATTTTCCTTCTCTTGGTAAATATATCTGTATTGTAAATAAATGTTTATCCTTTTATAAAATTACACTACGGTTAACGGGGTTTTTTCAACTTAATAACATTTTTAAAAACAGATATAAAATTCTTGATAATTTTTACTTATCAAGAATTGGAAAAATATCAATCAAATGATAAATTTGTATTGACAAAAATGAGTATAAGAAGTTAAAAGCTTTATTTTTTCCTTTTTCAATACTACCATAATTATAAAAGCGTTCTAATATAAAAGTTGTGATTTTATAGAACGATTTCAAAATTACTGGTACTAAAGTTAAAAAGAAGTTATTAAGTTGCACTCTTCATTTTGCTCGATCCAAATGTTGCATGCGTAAATATGACATATTTCTAAACGCTTCAAGCATGATTTGCCATCTAAAATCTTTCAAAACAATTGCTTCTAAAAGAAATGTTGTTTGCATAGAGTTAGAATAGAAGCGTGGCCAAAATTTTGCCAAATCCATGTATATGACAATTTAAAAAATTTATTTTGACATATCCTGTTTTTATCCTATATTATCCTATATTTTGACGTAAAGTGTGTAAATATATTTATCAATGTAAAAATGGAAAATTTATTAATCGCATCTCAAATTTGAACAAAAACAATCTTAAAAATTTATCTACCTACTCATAGTAAATATATAAATTGCCATGATGTATAAAATTTGATTTAGCAGAGTTTGAAAAAATATTTAAAAATCACTTTTGGCGCATTTTTTTAAAAAAAATTATGCTTCTTGATGCTTTACTCTGACACGCAACAAAAACTTTTCGGAATGATTATTCGACAGGACAATATATTAAATCATAATATAAAGAATAAATAAAATTTAAAAGAAATAAATTAAGAGTTATTGAAGAAATATTTTATTTAAATAAAAGTATAACGTATAAGCAAATTAGTTAAAAATTGCGAATGAGATTGTAAATGTATTTTTAAAGTCTACTTTATTGATAAACCTATAATAATTTTTCAAACAAAGATATTTTTGTCTCGAAAACTTGATGATTGTTCCATGTCCCATTAGCCGGCCAACAAGTACACTTTTCATTAGTTTTGGGAACCTTTTTTAACGGATAGTATTAATGAAAACACAATGTAAAAAATTCCAAATCAAATTACGATATTAAGTACCGAATACATCATCCATGAAATCCATTTTCACTGTAAAATAATTTGCCGGAATTTTCTACCGTAAAACTCTTTTGATTAGAGTGATTCAATGAGTTTAAGATAATTATTATTGTAAAAATTACAGTATATCAGAATTTTTGTTCCGTAACATGTTCCGGTAAAAAATCAATTCTATGATAAAGAGTACCGGCTCCATGAGTACCGGTACTTTTTTACCATTAATTGATCCAGAATTTTTTGCAGTGTATGTATTGGTTTTAGTAGATCTTCTTATAGTAGATCAGACATAACAAAGCTATTTAAATGTTTCTACATTGACACACTTTCAAGTACATATATTCTCCCCTCATAATTTTCTTTTACACAACATTTTTACTTAAAAGCGAGTGAATCCAAAACTCATCTTAAATAATGTTCGTTTTAACTAGGCTTAATGCATCAATGATTTTACACAACATTTTTACTTAAAAGCTAACGAATCCAAAACTCATCTTAAATAATGTTCATTTTAACGAAGCTTTATGCATTAATGCAGCATCTTTTAACTAGAATTTTAAAAAATTATGCTTGCAAAAGATTTTCTTACCCGCGTAAGTCTCTCCCGGGTGATAAGTCGTAATGTAGTTGGACACTTTTATTTCAAATTTGAAAATATTTGGAGATCTTGGAACGTTTACATCGAACGGTTCTCTTCGACACATTCCGGGATAATTCTGTGGTGTCCGTTTATCAGAAGCAGGCATTTCGATACCGGAAACAACACTAAAAAAGATCCAAACGCAAAACACATATCGGAAATTCCAAGACAAAAATCTTTGCTGCATTTCAGGACTTCTGTGCATGGCCAAACTTCGGAAGCAACAACTTATTTAAGACCTTTGTTCTACTGGAAAGAATTATTTTCGACAACCACCCCGGGCAGATTTTTAATACTAAACTGAGACTGCGAGCTAATTGAAGACGTGTTCTTGCGAAGGAAAAAAAAATTAAGAACATAAACCTCTTCGGTAGGATCAAAAAAAAATTCTTTTTTTTTTATTTGACGTTTATGAGAGATAATTGCCCCTATTTCTGATACAGATCCAAGACTGGAATATTTAACGAACAAAACAATTCCAACTGGCAAATATTTCTGGCTGTCATCCTAAAACTATAATCCTTTTTTTTTCTTTACTTATTTATATACAACAAAAATATTTTTATTTGCCTAAAATTTAATGTTAATATTTTAATGGCCATAAGGATTACAACCTCAAATATTTCACTCCGTATAATTAAATCGGGATTATCAAAGAGCGTAAAAAACAGAAAACTCAGAATAACTTGTCATCATCTGATCTTAACATACTTAAACTCAATCTCAATGGTTCGAGAGTCTATGTCAAGTCGATATGCTAATTAATTAGTGCTGACGATGTTTTAAATTACGAAATCACACACAAAAGCATACTTTCTCTGAATAAGCAAACCTTTTTTTACGAATTTGCTTACCCCCAAAATATATGCGTATGGGTAGTAGCCGCAATCTGGGAAATATGGTCCCAATTGTTCAGTCAGGAGAGCGGTTGAAAGTTTGGACCTCTTAATGTTAATTTTACATTAGGAGGAACATTTTTTCCAATGCCCACCTGTGTTAACATCCGTCAATTCAGGCATATACAGGGCGATTTTTGTTGGCCTCTCTTTCAGGGGCACCATATTAGGAGGGCCAATGTCGTTCCCACAGTGAGGACAGATAGTACAGAGAAGGAAAGAACATTCATGCCTTGCCCGGGATTAGAACCCAGAACCTTTCTGATGCAAGGACAGTTCCCTGCCCCCTACACAGACCGGTTGGCTTAAGAGGAACATTAAGATTTACGATAAGAATGTTACATTTTACAATTTGTATTTTGCCATTACTCGAGAACTTTTTAAACGTATTAATTTTCCCATAATTATTAACTTTTTATAATTTTATTTATTAAAAGTAAAAAAAATTGAGTTATGAGGTATACAAATTTATTAATTTTAAATGGAAAAATACAATCCTTGAATTGCTTACTTATATGGAGCGAAAAATATTTTTCAGGACTCATAGTTTAACGTTATTTGGCTATTTATTCCTTCAATGTCCCAACAAACAATAGGTTTACCAACATTTACGAAACAAATTGCAATAAATATCCTAGAAACTATCTTTCTTATTATTTATGAGGAGCAAAATTAGTTTTTCACTACTCAAAGTTTCAAATTAATTAATTAAAGTTTAAAATTAATTAGGGCATATGCCAAACATGCTAAAACTGACTATTTTCGATGTACCGTTTCTCAGCATTTAATCAAGATATTACTTCAGTTTTTTTCACAGGATATTTAAATATACATGTTTACACTGTGATAACAGTTAATACATGTTTGCGGCAGAAATTTAAAAAAAAAACTTTGATCTGAAAACATTTAATTCCTTAAAAAAAATTATTATTTTTGAGTAAAAATCTTTTGTTGCTCAGAAATTACTCTTGTTAGCTCCAAATCATTATCACAGCATGCAACTAATATAATCTCAAATATCCCCTAAAAATTTCAAACTGATATCAGAAGTAGTTTTTTTAGAAAAGATACATTGAAAAAGGTCATTTTTAGCATTATTGGTATATGCCGACTTCCCTTAATCTCTAATAAAATTTAGGATAGTTTATATATACAGTTATATACAATATACAGTTACAATATACAATATACAGTTCAATACAATATACAGTTCCACAACATACTAGCGATAATTGTTCTTGTATTAAACAGCAAACTAAATCACCAATTCACCATTTTTCACATTTATTCACTAGATAGATTTTTCTATTATTCTTTTCATCAAAAGTAATTATTTAATCACCATAAAAATCTTTCTATTATACATTTTTTTATTTTCCAAATTAAATATTACATGCCGAAAAATTCCTCTAATATAAACACTTTGTAGAATTTAATAATTTAATCACTGTAAAAATTATTACTAAGTCTACATTATTAAAATGTATAATTTAATCATCATAATGTTTTTCTTCATTAACCACTTAATTAAAATTATTAACTGTATTACCATATAGATTATTTCCTTAACCACTTCAACAGCATTAGTTATTTTAACACCATATTTATAACTCAATTAATAACCATTTCTTCAAATAGAATTATTTAATCGACATAAATTTTAATTCATTACGCAACAATCAAGATTTTTAATCTTAATAAAGATATCGATATCTTACTTGTTGCTACCAATCGCTTGAAAACTCTCTTAAAGTTGTGATCTATATACGATATTTGCCATTATTCATCGATGATTGCATGGAAATATATCGATAGTAATTATCTACCCTTTAATTATAGATGTGGGAGCGAATTCGAGACCTTCAGCTAGACTTGGTTGAATGTCACTGCCTCGGCTGCAACTATTTGATGCTATAAATTTAATACTAATGTCTGCGGATAAGCATTTCAAGAACAATGAAGCTAAGAATATGAATAGTATAATATTCAAACACCTTTTCTAATAATTTTATGAATTCAATGCTTCTTTTAGATAAATTTTATATTTCTGAGATCAAATGAAGGACGCTTTTTTTTCAAATCATCTGCAAAAATCATATTTAAAAACGTAAAATCCCATTCTTTAGTATGTTTGCAATGATTTTTTCATAACTCTCAGTCCTATACTAATTAATATTTTATGTTTATTGATATCCAAGTTTCTAGTCAAATTAGTATCCATATTTATTTAGGATATGAAAATATTTGGTCTTGTACTAAAGTTGAACAATACTCAATTTTGAAAAGAAAAAAAAAGATTTACAATTTCTTTCTTAGATCCCACGGAATTAATTAGCTACTTTTTTTTATCTATAGTTATATTTTAGAGCGTCGCCAAAAAATCGACTGAATAACCATGATAACTAACTAATGTTTAACTTACATTGCCATTTAAGATCATCAAACTATGAATTTGCTTTCAATTTTGATCAAGAAACAGTATGTTTATAGCATGTTTTTGTGCATCAAAAAAGGTTTCAAAGCATAAGTTTCAATTTATAGACTGAATTACAACTAATGTAGAAATCTTTGATTTAAGGAATGTTTTAAGGCAATACTGCGTGACCGATAATCCAAGCGTTTAAAATAATAGTATTATTAAAAATTTGACAATAAATTAATATTATTAAAAGATTCATATGAATTTCTGGAAGAAACTGCAAGATTGAAAATTTTTATTCACTTAAATATGAATAAAAACCAGTTACTAATAGTCTGTTAATGGACGAGTGTTAAAGAAAATGCAAAAAGGTTTTCTTCATAATTTTGTTTTTAAAAACTATCATGCAAGAAAGTATTTCTGGGGCATATATATGGGTCTTAATTATCATAGAACTGTAAAAATATCTACTGCAATGTTTTATTCTTAATAATAAAATTTATGTGTATTCATTTAAATACGTATTAAAAAATTACATAGTTTATCAATTACTATAGTTTATCATTATATCTTGTAGTGTTGCTCAGTATGCGTTTTCTCTTTCTTCCTCCCTTATTTTACCTATTACTCATGTTTAAATTTTTACTTTCATTAAGTTAATTTCCAATTTAAAAATTTTAATTTATCCCTCTATGCAAGCTATAAGCCAAGCTTTTCATCGTGATATCTTTTGGTTGTAAGTTTTAAATCCTTCCAGAATTTTCCAGATGTAAACAAACCAAAATGTAGGTCAAATAATCTTCTTCTTTCTGTCAATTTTTACCCTGTGACATATCTGGTGAGAAAATAAAAGGCCAAATGAAATACTTTTAAATCATTACTAAAAGATTTCTACATTTCTGTTTCTTTTGGATTTTGTGAAACCAAAGTTACTACGTAGCTTTTAATAAAGGATGCTTTTTTGAAAAATACAAAAAATGCAAATTTAAACATAAACTAAAAACGCAGATATAGGTATAGAATATAACTTTCATATCGCCTTAAAAGACATTTTTGCAAATATCAAAGCACTCTGAAATAGTTGTTTCAATTCTTAAAAAAATGCATGTAAGGACAATTCCTCCCTATATACAGACTTTGAAAACAAGTGACCCAGTTTTTTTTAAATCAAACAGTTCTAACAATTTTTGTTAAAAGCAATTCTTGGTGACATTTACATTTACTCCAATTTTTCATCGATTCAAATATTTTTTAAAAATTAAAAACTGGGTAACACGGACTTATGTCACATTATAGTCCATAACAGCCAATTTTCAAAACAATTTTTAAATTCGAAAAGTTGCTAAAATTGGAGAAAGTGTAAATGACACAATAAGTTGCTTAAAAAAGTATTAGAACTGCTTGATTCCTTTAAAACTCACATTCATGCATTTAGAATCTACAAATATGAAACTCATTAATGGTAGAATCGCTATATTTTCTATTTTTATGACAATAAAATAGATTCACGTGCACGTTTAAAATTAACAAAAATGATCATCAAATAACCTTTCTTGAAAGAAAAAAAAATTAGAAGAAATGAAAAAGTTATTAAGGTTAACTTTTATATCAGTTAAAGATACTTTCTGTAGTACTTACTGTTTGCTGAAAAACTGAATGAAACTTACTGTTTACTGAAAAACGCAGCTGTTTGAGCTATTTACAACAAAAGTCGACACACGTTACTTATTCAATTCATTTTTAGAAAGCAAACTTTAAGGCTTCTCACTTTTTTTTTCATGTTATTCCGGGGTTTTTTCATCTTTTTGTCTTTGTTGCTGGTCTTTTTTGCCATTCTATTTTCAATCCATTACACATAATCATTATCTATGTTATTTTTTTCCTCGGCGCTTACTTTTAGGTGTGTAGTTTATACACAAATCCGAACACGTGACATCAACAACACGTGCCTCTTTTATTAATGATGACACCAAAGATAATGCTTTTTAAATTTTACATAAATATTTATCAACGAAAAAAGAACTCAACTGTTTGTTAACATTTAGGAAGAATCTTGTTTTCAAAATTTTGTCCGTCTAAAAGTAATGGGATATTTTGCATAATTATTAATTTAATAACTTCTTATTACAATACGATCATATTAAGGACACATAAAGTTTTTTAAAAAAATTCTTCCATTTAAAGGAGAAGGACTAGTTTGTATAATCATTAACTAATTAGTAATAAAAGGACTCAACTATGTGCTAACATTTAGTACGAATCTTGTTTTCAAAATTTTGTCCGTCTAAAAGTAATGGAATATTTTACATGATTATTAATTTAATAACTTTTTATTACAATATGATCATATTAAGGACACATAAAGTTTTTTAAAAAATTCTTCCATTTAAAAGAGAAGGACTAGTTTGTAAAATCATTAACTAATTAATAATAAAAGACTCAACTATGTGCTGACATTTAGTACGAATCGTGTT